GAAATGAGTTTTCTAACAGAAGATAACTGTAGAATACACTCTGATGTTCAATACTAGCCTAACTTCGAAACAGCCTTAAAAAACGACGTAATTTGTTGAAGTTTTAGAAGAACTTAATTCTGACCTTGGCTAAGGAAGACCTGCGCCGCCATCTTGAGGATCAAAAACAATGCAATCAGCAAATTCTTTGTCAACCCATTTCGCATAATTTCCAAAATCATATCAGAGTTGACTTTTCTTAACTCACATGCTTTTTGAAGATGAATTGGTTCGAGATGCTCTAACAAAAGAGATCAGTTTTGCATCATTCGAAGCGTAACCGATGCAAATGCATTTTAAAAGAACCTGTTTCGCATTTTCTCCGAGTTGTGACTCTCTACAACACTTTTCTTGTCGACTTAATGAGTTTAACAGCGTTTCATTTGGGAAACGCTTCGAAACGTAATCGCAAAAAGAAGCGTTTCGTATCGTTTCAAAAACTCAAGGCAGCAAAACGCGTTCTATATAAGTAAAAATACTGTGAAACGCATTCCGTCTCGAAGAAACGCTGCGAAACGCATGCCCCAATCTTGGAAACGCGTTACACAGTGCGTTTCCTTAGATATTTTACGCCATGGGTGGTTTAATGACTCCATTGACAAGAATGAAAAATGGCGAAATTTCACTGGACAACAAATTGTTTGGCCAAATAGATCTGAAAAAATACCGGTAGATTATCCACAAGTTCGAGGTAAAGATCCTACAGTCATCATCGTTATTGTTCGCCTCACTTTTTTTTTTGTTAAACCTGTAAACTAATCTTGGACTGACTTTGCATATTTGATGATTTCCATTAGAAGGTGACATTTTCAGAACAAATTATTTAACTCGTATATCACATTATTGTCGAGCATAAGATATACTGTTCTTTTGAAGTTACTGTCTTCACCGAAAAATAGATGATACCATTGATAACATTTTCAACAAAGAATTCCGATACGATAATTATCGAAACGAATCTCAGACCTATACTTACAGACATAACTTAGATGATTATCTTCTTGCTTTGTAACGCTGATCAAACTAAATCAAATCCCTGCTGAAGTTTAGACGTGTAGATCTTAGGTCCGTCTATCTAACGTAGAAGTCAAAGTCAAAATTTTCTTGGAGTGACGTATCATTACATGCATTATTTAAAAAAGATTTGGTTAGATGATTAGTTTTTAAAATAATTTTACCCAACATGATATTATATAAAAACACGTTCCGAAGTCTTCTCTTTCAATTATTGAAAGTCGTAGGTCGCTTGCTGCCACCGTTCTTGAAATACACTCCTATTTTATTCTGGCATCGAGATTAGTTTATGTTTGAAACAGCGACAAGAACGTGAAAACTGAACAATTTTTAACACTAAAAAACATCATCTAATAGAATGAGTTTATTCGCTGATCTTCCATATTCATAAAACCAATTTCATTCATATCATTATCATGTATAATAACCGAATTCAATCGATTCTGCGTCACTTCTGTCGAGTTTCGATTCATTATTTTTCATAGATAAAATATCAGATATATTGAATTCAAAGATCAAGATCAATCAAATATGATATATATTTTTTGAATGATCTGAATACATCTAATACCATGTTATTCATCACTTTTCCAACGGTCGTATCTTAGTCAATTGTGAGTAACTACGCGAACAACAGTAACAATTTCTATGTTAAAGATTCAAGGTGTGGTCGGATCTGACAATCAAGATGTGACATGTTGTTCTGATCAGAATAAATGATACACCTTTTTTATTGCATAGAGTCCTAATACAGAAGATATTTATTAAATCTCTTTGATATTTACAATAACACGATTAAGCAGCCATGTCTTAATCGTTCTCTATAATCATTTGTTGAACAAACGTGTCTTATGTGTTGTTTAATCTAGGTGAACATTTGAATATTGATGTCATTGATGCACCTCCCTTTGTCATGCTTTGGAATAAGTCATCGATGACACAGCCGAAACCATCGAATACAAAAAATTTTCTTGAAACTCAAGATAAGAATATTGAAATCTATGGCTATATAGCCGATCTTATTATCGAACTACAAGCAAAAATGGAATTTACACCAAAGATCTATGCATTTTCATCAGATATGTCCTATAATAGTCTTGTTGAATCTATTTCGAACAATGATACTTCGCACATAATCATTTCAGATGTAACAATCACCTCGAATCGTTTCTCCATCGTTGATTTTTCATTACCTTTCTATGAGAATACTCTTCGAATTGTTATTCGAGATGTTTCATCGTTTTCTGCCGGTTTCTTAGGATATCTTCGTCCATTCTCATTTACCGTTTGGCTGTCAATCTTTGGTATAATAATCTATTCTGGATTACTCATTTATTTATTCGAACGACGAACGATAGAAGAAGAAGAAGAAGAAGATTGTCGGAGACTTCGTGCGATCGTTTTCAGTGTATATCAAGCTTTGAGTTGTTTCGTCGGGATGGGCAATGATTTGCGTTTGAAAACAAAATCAAGTCGAATAATGACAGTTGCATTGTTCACTCTGAGCATTATTCTAGTGGCTACGTATACGGCTAATTTCTCCTCATTTCTCACACTACAACGGACTCAACCGTATATATCCGGTATTGATGATATTAAAAATGGCCGTTTACCTTTTCATCGCATCGGAATTTTAAATGGTTCAGCCCATGTGAATTATTACACACAAAATATCTCTACTATCTTCTACGCTATCAAAAATCAAAGTGAGCGTTTTACGTTATTACTCGATAATCGTATCGATGCTGTTATAGGAGATGCATTAAGCCTTGAATACACTGTCGATCGACAGTATTGCGGTCGTCTATTAGTGACCGGTGTCGGTTTTGCTAAATCATCATTTGGTATTGTTATGCCTAAAGATTGGCAATACAAAGCAGATTTCGATGTAAATATATTGTTATTACGTGAAGAGGGTAAATTGGAATCATTAGAACAAAAATGGTTATCAGAACGAATATGTTCTACCACAAATACCAAAACATTTGAACAAGATGGCATTCCCATGAATGTTATGACTGGTCTCTTCGTCTCATTTCTTGTTGTTAGTGGGATTGCACTCATGCTTCATTTTTATTATTGTCCAATGGAAATCAATGAGAACTGCAGAAAAAAAGCCGTCAATATCGTACGAATCTTGTTAAGATTGCCGAAACATTAAAATACTTTGTTAATATATACAAGAAAAATTCTATACCATTCTCAACCTTTTTGTTCTGACAATAAATTAAAATCTTCTCTATTCATCTAGTGATATTATACCATCTTACAATGCTAAATTATGATTCAAATAAGTCGAAAAGTGACGATGCTAGGCAAGAAAAAAAGTCGGTTTTTTTTTCTACATTTCCTTGTCATATTCTAAGAGATAAAAGTGTCGAAGTGCAAAATTAGTCTTTTTTCTAGACATCAAACGATTACCTAACTCTAGTCTCAATTCTGTTTATTCCTTGAGAACGCCTGAAAAGATCTTTCAGCATGTTGAATCTCAAGCATCTTGTCAAGTCTTGTTCAGGATTTTGTTTCGAAAAATGTGGGTGTGGCGTGTGAGTGTGAGGTGTGGATGTGATGAATGTGGCTGTGACTGAAAATAAGACACTCATACGCATATCCACAACCAAACTCACATCCACACCATACACCCACGCCCACATCCAAATAAAAATGCACTAACATGTCCATGAGGAATATATCGAATATGAATACCAGGCCATACATCATTCATATGTAGAATACCATCACATAACCATCATGTGTACAAGCAATAAACACAGGATTAGATATATTTGACTGAACTGAACGTGAATAATTATATAAAGATGTAAATTCATCCATAAGAAGATGCATTATGTCTTTAATAAGATCGAGAACAATTTTATTTGAATCTATTGATCGATTTCGTTCACGTAAATAATCATAAAATGTTTGAGAGGCTTTATTTTCATAGAATTGTCGAGAAGGTGGATCAAGCTATCTAAAATATAAATATATACACAATGGCTACCAAAATTATTCAACTTTTACTCAATAAAAAACCGTCCTAGAGAGTTCAAGTACTAGATACTGAAAAATTAGGCTTTTGGGTTGTCTAAAAAAATCCTAACTTAGGGAATCAAATAATCAATGTTTTTAATTTATATTCTTTTTGTAATATGGTTTGCTCTACTTGAATCATTATTTGAAATTACGATAGATACTGTATATCCATTCATTAAATAGATCAAATAATAGAATTGAATCTTACTTTGTAAATGCTAATGAAGCCATATGTCCACCAAGAGAAAAATCATGTAGAATAGCTGATGTTAATTTCATTTTTTGATACCAATGAAGTAGATCTGGTGATTTTCTTAAAGCATTATATGGATTTTCAAGAAGAATTGAACCTATAGGATATTGATTAATTAATGGGACTGCAGTAAATAACCTTTGTCGACTAAAACCTTGATCACGTGATAGAACAAGTTGAAAATGAGTTGTAGCTACTTGAGATGGAACCCATTTAAATAAATAGAACAAAAGAAAAAAGATAATATTAATTAAATGATTAAAATAACTTTAATTACTTACCAAATGTGATAAATAATTGGCAAGTGATGAACCAAATCGAGCATTTATATAATTTTAATTATCTTTTTGTTTCTTGTTTAATTATTTCAACAGTATTTTCCTGTACATTTTCAGCTGGTACAAGTTCTAAACACTCATCTCTTACATCAATTTTTTTATGTCGATAGATAAAAATTTCTTGTAAATGAAATGGAATTGTTGATCTGATCTTCTTTTTCTTTAATCGAACAAAAAACAGGACAATACAATGCTTTAGTATTCTCAATATTATATAAACACACACACATACAAAAAAAACTCTTATATGTTCTTTTTATTTTCCTAAATTAATCTCGTTAATTTACTATGAAAACAAAAAAAACAATATTTTTATTGCATACCGCCAATAATGTTAAGTAACATTTGAGGACCATGTGGTAAATAGACGCTATTTCTTGATTTTGATAATTGATTTGCAATACCTTCAGCGGCTTCAATTCGTCGAAGTTCGATTAAACCTAACATGAATATTAAAACAAAGTAAGACAGGATAATAAAAGATATTCGAACATTTATCATCACCAGCTTCATCTAAAGCTTTCCCAATCAAATCAGCTGTATGAGCATCACCTTCTGCTGCAATAACATTTGCTTGACGACTTTGTTCCGTCTGTTTTTTTTTATCAAAAAAAAACAAACCCATACAAATTTTATTCTTATTGATTTACTTTTTCGACTAAAAATCGTTGTTTTTCAACATCTTGTTGTGCAACTTACTTTAATTCAACAGCACTTGTAAATTCAGGTCTAAAACTTAAATGTGTCTAATTTAAAGAAAAAAAACAATATAATCAACTCGAGACTCTTTTTTGTTGTATCTTACAATTGAAATACCATCAAGTAACAAACCAAATTGAGCAGCACGTTCTGTTAATAATTCACTAACACATTGAGAAATAAGTGTACGTTGTGTAACCGATTCAATAGCATCAAATTGAGACTTAGTACAACAGATTTTAAAACTTCATTAATAATCGATGGTAAAACACGTTCTTCATAATCTAAACCCAAATTTGCAAAAAATTTTTGGTAAAAGTTCAGCTCTTGGTTGATAAAGAATACGTAATGTTATATTAATTGTTTGTAAATCTAAAATAAAAATAATAAAATGTAATTTATGCATATTTCATTTATACGAAGAAAAAATAACGGAGACTTCCAGTTTTAAGTTTTATGAAGTATCCTAAGATTGGTGAATGGTGAGAGTGTAGAGATATAAACCGATCAGTTGAGTCGCCATCGATGGTCGCAACATTTTTTAAAATACCTTAGCCATATACATTCATTGATGTTCCAATACACATTGTATCTACCTTCTTTTTTTTCGTGAGCTTACATTTTTCTCATGTTCACCTCTCTTCTGAAGTTGACTGTTTTCTTCTAGCTTTTATACCTTTTATTTCTGTTATCGATGGAACAGATCGTAGTCGTGTACGAATATCAAATATAATTGGTCTATGAAACCATGAAATCATAAAATGAGTTCCTTCTTCAATAACATCTAGTTTAACACCTTGAAAACGATCAAAAATAATATCTCGATGATCATCATCAACTAGAATATATTTATATTTAAAGAAAGCAAGTTTTTTTTTTAATCTTTTCATTACTTACCATTATAAAGTATAGAATTAATCACACCACCACCAATACCTAAACCAATATCAATTCTTCCTAAAACACTAAATTCTTCTATCGAAATAAAATATTATCTGAATATCTTACCAATATTATTAAATAAACGAGATGAATTTATTAGCAAATAGTTCCAGAAACAAAACGAAACCATATGAAAATTCTTCATATCTCTATCGATAGAAAAAGAAAATGCATCACTATTTAATCTATCTATCTACTACAATAACAAACCAATGTAATATATACATAGAAAAAGATTAAATAACAATAAACTTTGAAAGCAAAAAAAAAATACATGCATAATTTTAAATAAATCGAAATCCACTTGAAAAAATGTGAGCACCGTTTTTTATTTTAGATAAAATAAAAGAAAAAAACGTGTATAAAGTTTAGCAGCGTTCAGATATTGTTCACCATTGGGTTTTAATGAATTTGAATTGCTTCGGATGCTGGAACAGTCTATAAAGAAATTATTTATATAATAGAAAAAAAGCAATGTTTTTCAATTACTATACTTTGATTTTGTTGGAAAAAATTGTTGTGGAAATGATGCACCATCAACACGAAAATCTTCAAGATTTTTATAATTTTTTAAAATTTCTTCAAGTTTTGAATTGATTTTTGGTTTTTGTCGAGAATATTTTAAAAATACCCAGAATTTTTCTAAACCATATAATTGATCTAAATAGAAAAATTATTTTTGTTATTGACACTTTTCTTTTTTTTGTGTAATCTATTTTATTATCAGCTTCATGATTACAAAGAGTTTCATGTTGACAGGGCTGGCCCGACCGGGGGGGTGTGGGGGGTGGAACACCCCCCCAATAATTACAAATTTTCTGATTTTTATTTCTTAAAGGGTTATGAATTATATACATTAAAGAATCAATAAAGTTAAAAAGAATGATAGAAAATTGATGCGTAGAGTTTATTGCATAAAACGCAGGAAAGAATGTTATATCTTTTTCTTTCATTCTGGCTAGTATAAATATGATGCTCGTAAGTTGGCGAATAGGCTTTTAAAAAATATATATACATACAACTCAATATGATGATTGACCTATAGTGCTTCTTTCTATATCCATTAGGGAGAGCAGTAACTATAATAGAATGAATAAAAGATTAAATGACTGCTATTAAATACATGTAATTTTTTTCAAAATTCAAAGGTTTTTTTTATTTAATTCAAGCTTTCGGTGATCACTGTCACCATTATCAAGAAGAAAATATATAACAAATAAGAGAGAAAAAACTATTCTATATACAGTAAAATCTCTATTAGTGAACACCTCTGCATAATGAACACCTCCTGTTTGAACACATATCTCGGTCCTCCTGATCGATTTTTGCTGCAACTAGACCTATACATAATGAACACCTCCCAACTCTGAACATGAACACGATTTTTTGGTCCCTTCAGCACAGATAACCTCTATATAGTGAACACACATTGAACAAGGTATGCGTGTGTTTGTGAAACAAGAGAAAAAAAGAGAACACAGCGTTCAATCTGACACAATGATAGGCCCAGGACTACCATTTCTTGTTTTACAAATGGGGTTTATGAAAGTCCAAATGGGGTACATTTGGGGTACATTCGTTTTTAGAACGGGGTACACTCTTGGGAGACATTATTTTTCTTCTAAGATAGACGATTTAATTGAGGAAACCAATGAAACAAAGCTTCTTTTGTAGAAAATAACACAATATTTCACTATTTTAATAACTGGATCAGCTTTATTGTTCGTTTCCCCTCAAAAAGCATCACACTAGTTTATTCGTGACGGCTGTTGCAAAAGTCCTGGGACAAATATGTATTAATTTTTCATTGACTAAAACAGGCTTCCAAAGAATCGAAAATATCTATTCTTGAGAGTCTTTTTCAATTTTCTTCAATTCCTTCTAGTATTTTGTCGTTGTTTCCCCGTTAGATGCGTCGTTTGATTCTGTGAGAACCAGGTAAAAAAAACCGATGACATTACTTCAGGCAGCATAATCGAAAAATTAAAAAGAATGATCTACAGAATAACATCAAAACCGAATTTCTAACGATAATGAGCAGAAAGTGTTTTGAGATTCGAATGACGTCCTCGAAAAGACAGAAATCAGGCGAACTAGGAACCACGAGAGATCTGAAAAACTCGCCTGTTAATAGGCGAGACTTCTTGTAGTACAAATTCTTAGAAACGACAAACTTCAATATCGCACAAAAAAAACAAATAGCAACTAAAAGACGCTAAGACCACAGACACCGATTTTTCAAGTGTTACCTCAAGAAAACAGCAATATTTTCGCGACGGCTTCTTCACAGTGAATGGAATGATCTAATAGGGAAAAACAATAAGCAAAATTGCGTCAAATAAACTGAAGAAGTTCATGAAATTCGAATGGCATAGTAACTTTGCAGTGGCCTTTTTCCTTTTCCACTTTGCATTTTTCTGTACTCAAAAAAGTGTTCATTACTTGAAAAATGAGTCGCGATAGAATATTCTTGAATATATACAGTTAAAAAGAGCTTTTGACATGAATTCCAGATCGGTATTTTCAATCTTTCGGAAATATATTTTAGTCGATGAGAAATGGACACATTTGTATTTGTCCAAGAAGTTTTGCAAGAGTCGTTAGAAACAAATAATGAAAAAAGAAGAAATGAGAAAAGAAAAAAATTTTATTTAAACTTTTTGCATTGTTCATAGTAAAAATAGTGTATAAAGACGAAAAGTTTAGGACTAAATTAAACAAGATGGATGCTTATATCTATTAATTGGTTCTTGACTAATACATTCTATTATAAATGTTCTTATGAAAATGAGAAAAATCTAGCGGAAACATAACTTATTTCATCAGAAGATTAGTTAATCGCACGGAACACTTAAAAGTCGAAATGGGGTATTGTACCCCAAAATGGGGTACGGTTGGCAGCCCTGGTCAAGATGATGATAATAAAAAAATTGTAATTGTATACGAACGGAATAAATAGAAAGGACAAGAAGAAATTCGTTTTCTATTATTACATAGTATCTTTGACAAAATTTTTTTTACACCCCCCCAAAGTTTGCGGAGTCGGGCCAGCCCTGCATGTTGAAAATTTTCAAATACATGTTGACGAAAATGTTTTTCTAGATCATATGTATAAAATCGAAATAGACATTCAACGCCATATCTATACATAAATAATAATATTCAATTTTTTTCTTATTATTTTTCATAAGAAAAATGACTAAAAACGATAGAGTGTATCCATTTCCATTGATTGACCAGGACTAAGTTTAACGATTTCTAGAAATTAGATCATTACAGAAAACAAAATGTATCTTATTTGTAAATCAACATAACTTTAGATTATAAATATTTTCTATGAAATAATAAAGTTTGGCGATTAGTGAAACTTAGTGTTTTTAATCATTGACGATTATTTTATTGCTTTTCAAATTTATCATATAGATAAGAATGATAGTATTTATTAAAAAAACTCCATAAAAGAGTCAAATCTTTGTTTTTTTTTGAAAATTATAGCAACAGACATATTCTCTATTATCTATTTAAATAAGAATACAAGTATTTTTAGACTCTGATTTTTACCGGAGAGTAGTTTTCATTGTTGTTTTTTAGATACGTTGACTGTTCTTTATTCTTAAGAGACTCGTTTTTTTACGTTCAATGTAACATAATTTCAATTTTTTTTTAACAGTAGCTTGTTTCTCTCGAAATATTGTAAATATGTACTGAACTAATAATCTTTTTTTTTCTCTACAATATCAATGTTTCTTTTTTATCATCAAGATATTCTTGTTTATATTTAAGATAAACTTGTTTAGTAAAACCATTTTGTTGTAAAAGTGTATGAGATGAATGTTGAACCATAAATATCATATGAATTTGAATTATTTCCATGCCAATAATGTGAATTATTGTATGATGATGAATATTGATCATAGAAATCTTGTTGTCGAGTTCTAAATAAGTAAAACTCATTTTATACTAATAATAATTGACATTCAATTGTTTGTATTAGGAACAAAAAATATAAGGAAATTCGTCAAAAAAAAACAAAGCAACACAAGTTGGTGGGTGTGTCTATGTTCTTCATTCACACCCACCTACACACCCACACCCACGCCCTATTAGTGATTTAATTTCAACAGAAATATTCATTCGATGGGATAGAAATTGAATTTTATGAAAACTTTTTAATTTTCTGTACAGTTATTTAACTTTGTCTTAACGACTTTTCATATAATGACAGTGCAGTCGTACTCAACAGACTTGTTGATCTTGTGTTTCCAAGAAAATGAATATGTTCATTTGAATAATGCACTCTAATCAATTTTCAAAAGTCGTACTAAAAAATAATTCTATGATTTATGATTCAAATTAATTGCTTTTATTTTTTCGATGATGATGATGATGATGAATAGAAATTTCTTTTGATCCAAAAAAAAAAGAAAGAAAAGAATATGTATTGCCCATGAAGGACTGTATATGAACAAAGGACAAGTATTCACATCCATACACATGAAAAATGATGAAATTAATTCGTGTCTCATCATTTCAATTAATCATGTGATGATTAATCAAACCAATTATATTCGAAAGTGCACATCATCATCAATTATCGTTCGTCAAATTGATATCAACATCATTAGAATGTCTTTGATTGGTAATGTGTATGTTTGAACACATATATATAAGAAACACATTTTCATCAGTATTCTCATACGATTCGATCGAACAAATCATGAGCATGCTCAATAAAGATAAAACATGACACTCACATGATTTATTTTTCACGGTTTACAACTTTTTATATTACTTACAATAATTAGTATTATTTTACATTATGATTTTTCATGAATGACATACAGTTATCAATTTATAATTATTTACAATGCTACGTATGAGTTTATAATGTATGAAAATGTGTACATTTATAATGAAATTTGTTACATAATGTTATGTTAAACATTTGAATTCTATAGTAGGAAAAAGAAATCTATACATGTTTAATAATTATTATGTAATTTGCTGGAATATAGCAATAAAGAATGTTCAACGGTGTGGATGTGGTGGGTGTCGAGTTTGTAGATATGGTGTGTATGTGTGCGCACGTGAATCCGTATGCGAGTATGTTGGTTTTTATCTGGACGTGTCAGTGTTCAGCAGAAATAATTTGGGACGCAAAGAATTAAAATACATTAATTTCCGATGATTTTTTATTGATCGATATTATATAATGATGCATTTTTTTTAGAAAGAAATCTAGGGGTAGGTGTTATTAAAATTCATTTCTGTACAATTCAATAAATGCATATATTACAATGAAATTTATCAATTTTATGATGTATTAAAATGTTTTGATTTACAATGAAACTTATTGTATGATATTGTGTTAAAATTCATTAATTTACAATGAAATTTATTATATGTTGTTAAATTCATTACTTGCAATGATATTCATTGAATGATATTATATAAAGATGCATTATTTTTAAATGAAATATATAAGTTTATGATGCATTATATTGTATTAAATTACAATGAAATTTATTGTACAATGTTATGTTAAAATGCATGAATTTACCATAATATTTATTGAATGATATTGCATAAAAATATATTAATTTACAATGAAATTTATTATATGTTGTTAAATTCATTACTTACAATGATATTTATTGAATAATATTATATTAAAATCTTTTATTTTAGAATGAAATTTATTGAATGATGTTATTTAAATTCATTGCTTTACAATGCATTAATTTATAATGAAATTCATTCATTCATTTATTCAATGATGTTATATTATAAATCATATTTTTTTACAATATTTTTGATTTCAATGATAATATCTGTTAGGATATATTGATTTATGATAGAAATTTATTCTATGGTGTTTTTAGAATTCATCCGTTTTTTTTATGAATTATATGAAATTATAAAAACCATGAGAATGTTAAAAAAGAATATGATTTATTATTGATTTATACCAATAACAAGATTGGGTATGTTGCTTCAAAAATTATCTTATTTATCTTGAGAAAGACTTGAACAAATAAATTAATAGTTGAAAGAACAATTCTAAATTAAATTTTCATAACAATACTTACATTGAGATAATGTTAGAATAAGATATAGATGATTTATTTCGGATGAAATAATTTTTTTCTTCGTTGTTGTACACATTTAGTGTATACTATTATTATTATGTTAAGTCTATGTTATTTATGCTAGAAGATAGCTACCAATTTATATCACAGCCTTATCAGGTGGCTTCGTAACCTGATCCAGAGAGAGATTCTATTCGTCATGGGATGGCGAAAGCAGTGTAGTGCTCGGGAAGGCCTTTAATGTACGTAGGTCCCTGCCGTCATTATGTACGGTATACCTATGTACATTGCCCTACCAGTCCGGCATGGTCCGCTCTGTGTGTACCCATTTCATACCCATAGGGCCTCTCCCTGGTCGCGCGCGCGTACGCGTGAAAATGAGCCTAGAAAAGTCGGGAAGTGAAAAAGAATCAAAACCAATTTATTGAGCAAGTAAACGAAAAAAAAATAATAAATTACATTTTCATTCGAATTTTTTCAAATGTTTCGTTATATTCCAAAAGATGAGGATGAGTTGAAGGTAATTTTTCTTGAGCTATTTCAACCGCTTGTTGAATATTTTTCATTGCCATACTATATTTTTGTGTAGCCAAATATAATTTTGCCATATTATGATATATAACAGCTAAATCAGGATGATTTTTTGGTAATTTCTTCTCACGTATTTCTAATCCTTTTTCGAAATATGTCAATGCTGTTGAATAATCTTTCATTTCACGATAAGTTTCACCTAAATTTATATATGTCGTTGCACATTCTAGAGGATTACATTGAACATTTCCTTGAATATTTAATGCTTTTTGATGAAATGCAAGTGCCTTTTCATAATTACCCATTAATCGATGAACATCACCAATATTACTATATGTAATAGCTTGATTGGGATGTCTTTCAGGCAACGTTTTTTGAAATATCGTGAGACATTTTTCGAAATTCTCAAGTGCTTTTGGATAATCTTTCATACTGCGATAAATCTTTCCGAACCAGTTGTATGGAAAAGCCAAATCTGGATGATTCTCAGGCAGAACTTGTTTTGTAATTTCAAAGTCCTTTTTAGAATATTCAAGTGCTTTCGAGTAGTCACCCATGTTGTTATACACTCCACCGATGTTATTGTAGGAACTAGCCAAATCGGGATGATTCGGAGGCAGAGCTTTTTCTTTTATTTTA